TCCATTGTCGCAAAGAATGGCTGTCACATCACACCCCTTGCTTCAGGATGCCATTCACGCAGCAGGGTAGTGGAGGGGCAATGGGAGCTATAGCCATGCTGTCAGCCCTGCCCCTGTCCTGTCCTTCCTGGCTGGTGACGTGGGTTCCTCAGTTGCTGTCTGTGTCCCTTGATTGCCAAGGTGGTGCTCCATGGGGAGAGGCCATGGAGGGGAGAGGTCATGAAGGGGATAGCATGGGTTTGCCCGCTTGCATGCATAGGGGCTTGCCGCAGGCAGTGGCAGTGCCCACCCACGTTAAAGCAAAACAGTAATTGTCATCAGGAGGGATGCCCATGCAATCCACTTGCTACCGTTTGGCAGGGGTGCCTGGGCAGGGTTTTATTACCCAACCGCCAGGGGACAGGTCTGCACCTTTGCAGCAAGCGGCTGTGGCACCCCCTGCAAGCCTTTAGGCTCTGCTCTGCACTGAAAGACAGTCTCCTCGCTTGTCAATGGCCCAAAGGCCCTGCCATTGTGTATGCCCTTTTCCAACGGAGCTCCTCAGCCACTGGTTTGGCAGGAGCCTGCTCCATGGTGCAGAGCTGGCTGGGTCATTTGCCGGAGTGGGGTTAGCAAGCTGTAGGCCAGTATGTGAAACATGAACCAGAAATGCATCCCCCACAAAGCCCGCTGGTCCACAAGCCCGTCCTGTTTTCTCCATTGTGCTAAGCATGATGTGAGTCCATTGTATGCCACCCAGCTGTCTGTGCATAGGATTATAGGGCTGGCCACAGGACTATCCAGGCCGAGCATTTAGCTTGACGGCCATTGACCCACATACCACCAGAACCGCCTCCAAGGGTTGCCTTGGGCTGAGCTGCCTGTATACCGAGCCTCTTCTGGTACCCTTGCATTTGGGGCTTTCCAGCCTGGGTGGCCCTGAGCTTTGTGGATTGTCTTCCTCGGTGATGTATGTATGTTACTGACCCAAGGAGCTGGTGTAGCTCAGCACTCAGGGGACAAGCTGACAGGGAGTTTCTCTGCTGCAGGTACGTGTGCCACCCCTGCCTGTGGTTGGATGAAACCCTTCACTCAGCTTTCCACTGCATAGTATGTGCATTCAGTCACTGGAATGACCCCTATACCCTTAGGGTAGCTGGAGACTTCCGATTCACATTCCTGCCCTGCGACTTGTCCCTAAAACCTGTATTTGCTGTACGGCCACGTCAGCGGCATGGAACACCTGATCTACCTCATCTGAATTGTGGTGCTGGCGAAGAATATTAAAAGTGCCATGGCCTGCCAGAAGAACCAGCCAATCTGTCGTGGAAGAAGTACAGCCAGAGGGCTCCTTAAAGGGAACGAGGGCAAAACTTCATCTGCCATACTTTGGACATGCTGTCAGGAAAGACTTGTCCTGGGAGGACATCGGGTTTGGTAAAACAGAGGGGCAGCAAAGAAGAGGAAGCTCTTTGACAAGATGGATTGACACAGTGCTGCAGCAAGGGGCTCAAGCCTAAGAACCACTGTGAGGGTGGTGCAGGGCAGAGGGTCGCTATGGGTCGGAACCAACTCAATGACGCCTGACAACGGCATGGTCACCGAGCTCCTTTGGTGACATCTACCAGTTGCAAATGATTGTAGATGGTCCCACAGTTGGTTTTCCTGCAGGACTGTACCTAGTCTCCTCTCCCTTCCACAGTTGGGACCCAAATCCCAGGGGCGTATGCCATCTTTGCTGCCTGTGTTGGGCTGAGTTTTCTAAAGAAAGGAAACCAGTGATGCTCATGTATGTGCCAGAAAGAATTCTGAACCGAGAAAGTGACCCAGCCAGATCCAACTCAAGTCCAGGGATCCGAGACGCCAGCTGGGCCTCCCCAGACTGCAGACAGCTGCCGGTGGATGAAACCAGAGGGCAAAGAGCTGAGCGGTCCCACGCTGGTGAGTGCGGCGTCTGGCTCACTGGGTGGCTAGGATTTCGTGCTCAGAGTCTGACAAAGCACTCGGTCCATGTCAGCTCGTGACCGTCCTGCACGTCCATGATAGGGCAGCGCTGAGCCCTTCCATTCAGCTCTGGCAGAGGCCATGGCTGGGGTGACAGGGCAGGGATCAGCTGTGCCTGAGGTCGTGACCCCACGACCCAGAAGGGCAATGCCCAGGCAGAGTCACTAAGGCTGTTAGTCCCCCACAAGAGTGAGCCTGGAAGGAAGACACCTCTAACTGTGGAGTGCTGTATACAGTTGGCTCCTGCCAGCTAGGGAGAGCCAAGCGGCAAATTTTTACAGGCAAGTTGTTCAACGGTGAGAGGCTTGGAACCAGCCGTTGTTGGCATGCACCAGAGGCATCCATGGGACAGGAAGGCACCTAACACGATGGGCAGACTCTAGAGCAGTGCTTCTCAACCATCCTAATGCGGCCACCCTTTTATATAGTTCCTCATGTTGTAGTGACCCCCCAACCATAAAATTATTTTGCTACTGTGATGAATCGGGCAACCCCTGTGAAAGGGTCGTTCGAGCCCAAAGGGCTCACCACCGACAGGTTGAGAACCCCTGCTAGAGGGCCTCCCCTTCCTGTTAGGTATACACCCCTAGCTTGTCCCCCTCCTGTTATGTGTATGCCTCTTGTACAACCCCTTCCTGTGCGCCCAACTATATAAGCTCGTGCGAATACATTAAACTCTCTCTGCTCGGGCTGGCTCCTGAAGTCATGATTGCTGAGGTGAGCCCTTGCAAGTGTTATCTTGTGTGATGTCTCTTTAATGTACCTCTCAATTACACAACTGCCCCTTAGACCCATTCAGTTGCAGAGGCTGGTCGCCCACATCAGTCCCCCCTGTCCCCAAACAAAAAAAACCCCCATGCCATCAAGTTCCAGCCAACTTAGGGACAGAGTAGAGGTGCCCCTTTGGGTCTCTAAGGCTAAATCTTTATGGGAGCAGCCTCTTCTTTCTCCCAAAGAGCAACCAGCAGGTTCAAAAGGCTGACCTTGTGGTTAGCAGCCCAATGAGTATCCCACTACACTAGGGCCCCTCCCTCTCTGAGTCCCCAAACCAAAAGCTGTTGACTCTTGACTCATAGCAAACCCAACGTAAGCTTTCCAAAGTTGTAAATCTTTACAGGAACAGATAGCTTCATCTTCCTCCCTGGAAGCAGCAGGTGGGTTTGAACTTCCATCCTAGGGATTAGCAGTCCAATGCTTACCCGAAAATAACTAGGTTCTTTTCTCTTTCCCTAGTGACCCCAAGTTTCTCATCTCTCTCCCGCCAGAATGGATCAACTTAGTGCCCCTCATGCCCCAGGCTGGAACTGTTGGTTTGATAACACTGGGAAAATCCACCCAAACCATGGCCATGAAAGGGACCACCCCCTCCCACCGCCTGGCCACTACCAGGCAGTCTGTGTTTCTGAGGACAACTCAAGAGAAGGGAGGGTTTCTCTTGGCCTTGCCAGTGGGTTAGCGTGGACTGTCTCAGCACCTCTCTGATGGGCAAGCTGAACAGACAAGCAAGAGCACCCAACCCAGCCTCTTTTCTCTCAGGGCTGTCTGCCACAGTGGGAACCCACAGGCCTGCCTAAGCAGGGGAACAGAGAGCTCCAGGGCTGGGGCACACACGCCCCACCAGCTCAGAAGTAGCACGTTGAAGATTATTGGCCACCTGAGTCTTTCAAATCATTCAGGCTCCAAGGACAGGAACCCTGAACCATCTGGGAGCCCGTCCGACCTTGTTTCATCCCCCACCCCACCCTGCTCACTTTGCCACAAGTTCGCTCCCACCTCGGGGGCCTTTGTCTTCTCCTCCTGCCTAGCTGTTCCCCGGCCACTCAGCTCATGGAGGGCGGCCGGCCCCTCCCTTCCTCCCTCGCCCGCATCACCCTCCTTCCTGATCTCAAAGGCTCTGAAACGATTCCACGGTCAGTGGCTTTGAACTGCCCCAGGAGAAGGTCAGGTCTGGTCTGTGGCCGCTGTTACCACAGTCCCCAGAGCAGTATGTGGGACAGAGCCAGAGCTCCGGAGACCTTCATTACGAGAATGAACTAGACTACTTTGGGAAAGAAGAGAAAGAAAAAAAAAGATTAGTTTTCTTTAATAGCAAAATAACCTGTGTAGTGGAAAATACAGCATAGAAAATACAACTTTGAACTTTAACACTGATCATCAAACCGCAGTTCTCAGTTGCACTTTCTCTCTGTGCCCCTCCCCTGCGTGTAGATATAAAATGCCATGTGTGGGCACGTGGGAGCACAGGCACACACGGTTCTTAATGGCTCCTAGGAAGGGGGAGAGGGGGTCCCTGACTCTTACCCTACACTTCTGCATCCGCCCTGTCCCTTTGGGAAGGACCGTCTCAGGACCAGAGGCTGGTAAAGAGTAAGGCTTTGCAACATAGCCATGAGGTAGCTATAGTCCCCAGTGGCGGCTGTGGGGACAAGGCCTCAGAGAGGCTGACTGGTGTGACGGAGGCCACACAGCTGGCAATCACAGAGGCAGGCCCCCAGTCTGGAAGCTTCCCTTCTCTCTGCTGCCATGGAGCCTCGGGGCTCCGTCTGGGGATCCGCCCTCTTCAAGGTGCTGCTCTGAGCAACGGTCAAGGCTGGGAAGGGCAGGGCGCCAGGTCTGAGGAGCAGGCAGCACCATCACATCCACCAGTCCAGGGACTCTTTGGGGCAGGCCCTAACGATGACCATACAGTGGGGCAGTCCCTTACACAGGAGCCTCTCGGCCTCCTGGCCCTCCCAGCCCAGCCCCTGCAACTCAAGCACCCTGAGCTTGGGCATGGTGAGGCAGGAGGAGAGGATTTCCGCCGGCGAGGGCATTTCCGGGGTGATGAGCGGGCCCAGCAGGCATAGGCTCTCGAGGGACGGCATGCCCTCCAAGACTGACAGGCCAGGGGCAGAGAGGCCCCTGACGGTCAGCCGGATCTTGCGCACATCTCGGAGGTGGCGGCTGATGGCCAGCAGGGTGCTGTCGGCCGACAGCGTGCAGCCCAGGACCTCCAGTCTCTGCAAGTAGCTCATCTCCTGCAGGCTGGCATCCAGGCCCGTCTCGGTCACTCGGTAGGTGCCGCCCAGCACCAGCGAGCGCAGGGCACGGAAGCGCGTCAGGCCCTGCAGGTGCTCGTCCCGGAAGGCGGGCACACGGTCCAGCACGATGCACTCGAGCAGGGGCAGCACGGTGGGGTCCTGCTCCTTGAGGAGCCAGACCATGGAGATCTCGCAGCTGTGCAGCTCCAGGGTCCGCAGGGTGCAGGGCAGGCTGGTGATGGGCACCATGGTCAGGTCGGCCACGTGCAGGCACAGGCGCCTCAGGTTGGGGCACTTGTGGCCCAGGGCCCTCATCAGGGCGGGGGACAGCTGCGGGGCCTGGGAGCCAGAGAACAGGTAGCCGCCCATCCGCAGGGAGTGGAGCCTGGAGGCCATGTACCGGCGCAGGAGGTGCCACATGACCTTGGGCCGCATCTGTAAGAGCCAGAGAGCAGGGTTATGGGGCCAGAGGAGCAAGGCTCCCAAGGCCCCAAGCGATCCGTGACCCCTCCCAAGGGCAACAAGATCATGTGACCCCACCCTTCTGAATTTTAGGACTTCAAACATAAGCAATGTGGGGAGTGTGGAGGGGGAGCAAACCGCATGGTGCAGGTTCCCGGCCGTGCTACAGGGTCACTATGAGTCGGCACGGAGGACAGCAGTGAGAACCACGGCCAGCGTGAAAGCAGAGCTCCCCACCAGTCCTCTCCTCCCTTTGGAATGACCAGCTCTCGTGGAAACAAGTCAGGCAAAATCCACCTAGGGTAAAATTAAGCCTAGACTTTAAAAAGAAACAACAAAAAAAAAACCTTTTCTCCCCACCCCCCAACATTTTAAAAGCATAGCCTGTGAATTCTATCCCCCCAAGGCCTATGTGTTGTGAATCCTAACATCTAGTACCCGCAATCCCATTTGGAGAGGGGTTGTCTTTGTGACGGTAATCAAACAGGGTTAGTGTAGGGCATGGTGGGTGTTATCTTGCGATATATAAACATCACCACACACACACACACACACACAAAACCCTCCAGCTCACTGCCTTTGGGTCAATTCCGACTCACAGCCACTCAATAGGGCAAGGTGGGACTGCCAGCGGGTTTCTGAGACGTGACTCTCGAAGGGATCGAGAAGTCTCTGCTGTCTCTCAGAGCAGCTGGTGGCTTCCAACTGCTGAGCAGCGCAGTGTGGAACCAATGGTGCCACCGGGGGATCCCGGCCACCCACAGCTAGCTCAAAACAGTAGAAGCCAGGGCTGCTAACTGTCAATGGACTCCAGTCAATGGATGAATCGACTCTCGCTTGGAAAACACGGAGGACACTCGTCCAGTCTGATGGCGTCAACACTGGCTGCAACGTGAAGCAGCATCTCTCTGAGCTAGCCGGTGTGCATGGGGGGGGGCGCTCCCCTGGCCAGCCATCTGGTGGTTTCTAACGAACTTAAAGCATACAGGGCACCTGTTTTGTTTTCAGAGAACGTATGCCTGTGTCTTTGGGTGCACGGGTCTCTCTGGAAGGGTAGGCAGGAAGTGTGCACATCTGTTCCCTCAGAGG